TCTTGTGCTGATGCAAGGTCAGGGGATTGTCAGTTGGCATTACATATACAGCAGTGGCTCTAGTCCAGCGCCTTGGTCTGCCTGGTGCTCCCCATAAAGTACGGGGCCTTGAACCACCATTATTTTCTCTGGGGATTGCGATCGATTCACATATGCTCCGTCTTCCCGAGGACAAGTACTCTCTCCTGAAAGACCTCCTGTCATAAGAGAAGGACAAAAAGTCAGCAAGCAAAAGGCAGTTGAACTTGTTGGTGGGTCCACTAAATCACACAGCAGTGGTAGTTAGGCTTGGCAGGCTTTTTACAAGAGCCATCATCGAGGAATGCAAATTGGCACGCTGCCCAGATCATTAAAGGGCCACGGACACGGAAGCGCGTCATGTTCAAAAAGTAGCCCTATTTTGCAAGATGATATAATATTACACTACGTCATAATTGCGACCACGCCCATAATTTTTTACAAAACATGGCTGCTTCTTGGGGAGGATGAAGGGCTAATGCTGGCAGAAAAGCCCACCAGTTAGGATATTTTAAGGAATGAACTGTGAGGATACATATGTATAAGGCCGACTATATATAGAGGAAGTCTCTTACGACCACTATTGGAAAGTCAAGTGACCCTGAGTTTTGTCATCACTTATTGTTGATTTCAGAAAAGTCTCTAAATGTCATGTAAGTATCATGTAAGTATTAAAATACTGGATAAATGCCTAGTCTCAATAACAGACCAAGTACCAATTAGTCAGCTGAGCTAGAGTTTCCTTCACCAACTGATTTACCTCCTTTACCTGTGCCAATTAGTTCCTCTACACCTATATGAAACCGTTAATCTTCACAGAGATCCCTGTTTACCAAGAGTACGAGTGATTTTCAAATAAGGTTGAGTTATACACGCTGGCTATTAATATTACAATTTCTTAATGATTTAGAGAGAAGCGCAGCTCATTTTCAAAGACCCTTGCATTGAGAACTGACTATAGTGACAGTGGAAGCAACCATGATAGTGATAAAAGTAGTACTAGTGATGAGAATGACAGTGACATCGATACATGTAATAGTGATGATGAATTGACATTAAGGTAAGTATTAATACTTTTATTATATCTAAGCAATTGTTTCGGTGCATTAGGTGTTGACCTTCTTGATGAGGAAAATGGTAATTATAGAAACTTCGATGTAGACATCGAAGATCATGAGTCAGCCTGTGACAGTGATGGAATGTAAGTTAGTTAGTGCAAAAACTTATTAAATGAATGAATTTTTTAGTTTTCCTCAAGATGAAGAGAATGATGCACAAATGCTCATATGTCATGACTTAGGTAATTTTTAATGTTCTATTAAGACATAATTACTTTGTATTTCTTCAGTAAACCTTCCTTTTAAATGGATTATTGTGAATATATCAAGTTTAAATAAGTTGTTACCTTCACACTGTTTTGAGCATGGATGTAACAAACCAGTTTTCATATTCTCTAGGCTGCATGGGTGTTTAATTTATCAATTATAGAACATTAGTATACATCATACTACGTGATTGTAATTTTAAAATGCGCATAGCAACTTCCTTAGCAATTGCATTTAACTCATGTAAGTGGCACGTGACAAAAAGGGAGAACCCCATGAGTCACACCTGATGAGTCAGCAGAATTGCTTACATTTTGTTCTACAAGACGGTACCAAGCACTTGACTTTCTTACCAAAGGCTCCCTTTGTACAAGATAAGCAAATTATCATTGGAAGGTCACAATAGCAGCTCTGAAGTTTTTTTAAGAACAGCATCACTAGAGCATGATGGACAGCGCTTTACCTAAATTATTTTTTTTAGCGCGAAGAAACAAGGCGTGCAAGCAAGGTATGTTACTTGTTCAAAGTTTGTCATGGACCTTCGTGTCTATGGCTTTCTGCTTTACATGATAATCATGACATATGAGTGGGAAAAGGGAGAAAGAGAAAGACAGTAGTATGAGGACAAGTAGACTAGCATGAATTTAATTATTACAGTCAAGACTTTTTCTTTTTTTAAGAAGGGGTGGCTCCAAAAAAGCATTGTGTTGGAGCAGCTTAAAGTGGTGGTTTTGAAGCACAACACACAGTTATTCCACCCTGTTAGTCATATTGTTAAAGGACCTCTCAGTATAATTAAAGATGGCATAAAGTGACTCAGCACCCTGCTCTCCCATCAGTCCACAACTGACTCTCCATTTTTTCACCCATGGGATGATGTGGTCCTCCAGCATATGCATCTTGGGCAGCACAGATGCTGAAGGAAACTGCTCTTGGTAGTACTTGAGAAATGAGTCAATAGCTACCTCTATAGTATCAGAAAGTAAGAATAATTTACAATGCCATGTAAACCTACCTAACTCTTCAATTGTACTTTCTGTTAGAAGTGAACTGCTGTTGTAAATGTTTTGGCAGTTTGCAAAAAGTGAAAATAGATCTGTGAATTTGTCACAGATCTCCTGTGCCTTAGTTTGTATTGCTGGTACAGATGTTGCAGCAGTTTCAATGACAGACTGACACATGACTGTAATGTTATCAGGCTGGATAATTATGAATTATAATTGTCTAATAATTGATATTAGCATACTTTCAAAGCTCTGTGTATATGGTTACCAATGAAGGAACCTCCATGATAAGCTTGTCGCTCAACATGAAATGACTTCAATGCTTTGTCCAGAGCAGTAACAAATAGTCCTTCACGCTCAAATCCCTTAGAAATCAGTCGGTTCTGTTGAGCTATTGTATTATCCTAAAAACAATGTTACAGTCCAAAGTAATATTTTATATTATTTTTACACTAACATTTGTATTCATCACTGTAGATTGATTATGGATAAACTGGGTCACTTGTTGAACATTTCTGTCCTGAGTGGGGTGAGACACTGTAAGTAATAAAAGAGCGAACAGCTGCTGGGCCTAGTTTATTTCACTCATGAGTATTGACTGTTGCTCTTCAAGTGATTTTACAGTGGATCTCACCTTCAGATATGTGGAAAAAGAATTTGATGCACCATTACAGTCATCAGCTACTTCACAGTCAAGCAAGTGACACTCCTCTTTGAATAGATCAAACAGCCTCTGAAAAATGCCCAGTGTTATGTGAAGGCCAGGTGGACATATCTAATGTAAGTATTAAGTTATACTAGATTTTGATAACCTATTACTTGTGTCAGTGGCATAGGCGTAGGTAGGGTCGGGCATATAGGGGCAATGCCCGACCTGACTCTGTGAGCTGACCTTTGGGCAAGGGCAGAAGCTTGGGCAAGGTGGTTGGGCAAGACTGAGTGTGTCACTGTGTGTGAGACTGTCAGACTATCATTACCAAAGGTATAATTGGACACTCCACTATACTGTCAGTCTGTGACTGTCACTTAGCCTGAGGAGTGAGGAAGAAGCTGAGAGCCAGAGCTCTAGCAGCAGCCATTAAATTCAAGTTATGAATTATGATATCAAGTTAATTATTAGTGACGCCCAAGTTAATTATTGAAATGGTGAGCAAACGTCAATCTTCCATGCTGTTTGCACCTATATCTTTTACATATAGAAAGAGATTTGTCTTCCAAGCTCTGGGACGGCTTAAATAAGGTAGTAATCAAGTTTGTTGTCTCTCACAAGAACTCCAGTGATCATCCTCCTCATCCTCTGAGTTGAGTTTCCTCCGCATTTTTTTGTTAACTGGCTTTTTCAAAGCCACCATATGACGAAAAATTTCTTCTAACTCATTACGATAAAACAATAATAAGTGCATGCATGATGCATGATAGATGGTGTGAAATCTCCATATTTTGGGTGGCAAAAAGGGTGTAGCCAAAATTTTCAAACGCTTTGCGCGCCCACCATTTTCCCCTTGCCGGACCTTCTTTCCTACTCTGCCTACACCCATGGTCAGTGGAACATCGAAGAATGGTTTGCCAATCACATTGTCATAGAACTTTGCTCTTTTCAAATTGCATCTATTGGCCATAAAAGCTTTGTAACTATCCTTAAGAGTAATCAGTGACCTTGCTGTTACAGTGTTAGTTGTTTGACGTATGTCTCGACTCTGTTTTAAGCAATAAGAAGTGATATTGCACCACAAGCAACAGTGTCGTCCTAAAATTTAAAATACCATATGAAAGTGTTAATAAATGAACAGTAAATGTACTGCTAGCTCCAGAGATTCCATAAATGTTACAAAAGAACTCGTAATCTCCAGACATGAAAATACGTATTTCATAATGTCTATTTAGTATTTTACAAATGCTTTTATTTTAGGTATCTTACTTCCACTGAGCAGTTTGAAGAAAAGTAATGCTGTCACAATACTGGTCTAAAGCCAGATGTAGATTGAGGACTGTATCAGGTGCCTCAAATACAGAAAATACAAAACTATTTTCAACGGAATTTGGCTTAGCAGTATTCATTATTTGAAAAGATAGCTTGACAGAAGAACCACCTTTGTCACCACCAAGTTTGACCCAGATCTCATCGGATGGGATAATGCCATCATGCCAGGTCAGCTGATTCAGTCCAATACAGTAATTATAATTTCACTTAATAGAAAAAATATCACTTACCGTGACTTTTCATCAAGAAGATGAAAGATTGTACCCACCAAGTCTGTTACATAAGCTAAAGGGGCTTGTCAAAAAACACATTCTCCACGCTTGGCTCTAAAGCTGAAAGATACTTCCTCTGCTTTAATAGCAATGCTTTCCAATTTGTCCTTCATCAGTGTCCTCTGTTTCCTTTCACTAGCTACTCATTTATTCCATGACTTAAACCATCAAATGATGTATTATTATTACTTAGTACAATGAGTGTCACATACCGTCTCATTATTCTCAGCTTTCTCCATGGAATGACACAAATTAGCCTTCATCACCAAAATCTCATCAGCTGGTATGGTAATATTAAAATTAAGCTCTTTCGCAATTTTTTTCCCTCATTTCATCAGGCAATATCTTCATCTCATCTGATATTTGCTTCTTTTCATCATCACAACTCAGTCTCTTCCTAATATCAGCCAATTCATTGCTTCTCCTTGTTATACTAGCTGCTTCACCAGAAGCTACTGTTGATCGTGTCACTTTCATTAGACTAATTGGCTATTATTGTAAGTAATTTTAATTTATGAGTAATATGTTGCACTTACTCTTCCTTTTCTTGACAGCTGGAGAGTACCCACATCACTTTGATTTACCAGTCTTGACACGACTGACAATGCTACTCTTTTTTCAATAGATGATAGAGCCCTGTCATCATTAGGAGACTCAAGAATATCATCTAATGACACCTGGCATGAGTCACTGTGTTTGCTACATTCCTCTCCAAGTAATGCAAGTTTTATCTTACAGCTGCAATTCTCACACTTAACCCTTAGGTCAAAGAACAATTTCCCTGTTAATTCAGACATTCTAGTGAAAGTGTCTTCATTTGAATAATGGTTACTTAAGCAACCAAGACAGCTAAATGCTTGCGACTTGGCTAGCTCAAGAGAACATGGATAGCAAATAATTGATTTGCATGGTAGCAAGTCAATTGGACGATTAGCAGCAGAATCACACTGACAGCAGGTATCAACGTCCTTATACTGAACATCAATCAGCTGAGTGAGAGTGAAATTAGGAACTGGACAAGCTATCGCCTGGATGTGTTAACTGATGATTGTTGGTCATCCACCAGAATACTTTCGTTTGGGTCTTCCACCTTCACAAAGTGTCACATACATGACAGTATTCTTCATTGTGTGGTGACCACTCAAAAGAAACACCTTTGTCCTGTGATCCTGCTGACAGCTTCTTGGACATAAGATAACAACTATTGCAGAAGTATTCTGGGTGGACATCAGTAATGTTGGAGCCTGGATTAACATCCCAGCATTTAAGTATCTGTTCATACTTAGTGGTCCTATATCTAGTTTTACCTAGTGCTCTGGAACAAACTCTGCAGTGACTTCTTCAAAAGTCTTGTTGCTTCTTCATGGATATGGTCACCTGTAATTATTACATTTTTATGCTACTAATATTTGTATTTTTAAGCCCCCCAAGCTCTTTGTAAAAAAATATAAGTAGTTACTTCTTATAAGGTAGTGATAGAACATCTTGTAATGTATGTTTACATACCTTTTTTGTAGCTGTAAAAACTTCTAAAGGTTGACAATAGACCACTAAACTTGCCCTACTACAAGTAGTTTGAAAAGGAGCAGCTGTTTTAACTGCTGCGCAGTAGAATACTATAAGCGATATGGATGCGCAGTTATGTCATATAGTTTTATACTGTGTGGTACAATCATAATATAAACAAATATTAAGTGAATGTCACTAAGATAATATAGTACATAGGACTTGTCACATCCTTTGAGACAGGAAGCCCATCATCTGATTTGAATTGTGTTCCGTATTTATTGTAATTACACCCTTAATGTTTCAATTAAACACCCATGGCTGACTGGTGCTACATTACAGATAACTTTTGAGTGCTCAGATGGTCATGTTAGTAAATGGTCATCTTCAAACTGTCTTTCTATAACAAGGAGTGTTATTAATGAAATGACTTGCTATTTGCAGCATCTGTTCTTTTTTCTGGCAATCACTATGCTAAGATGAAATTTTTCTGCTCTATTTTAGATTAGAAGTGTCCTACAAAAAAATGTATTATCGGTATCAACTCCTTTACTTAATTCCTACAGTTTAGGTACATGTAATATTGATGCTAATATATAAATACTATTATGATCAAATAGACACACTGGGAGTTTAGAGTGCTTTCACAGTCTACTACTATCATACTGCCCAAAGAGAATTGCTTGGTAATATATAATACATAAAGTCAAATAAACAAAAAATTTTTATTAATAAAAGTAGGGTTGTCAAAAAATGAAAGAAACAAGGGGCTGAGTTTAATCCTAATAATACTTATTAGTTTGATTAATAATAATAATAAAACTTAATTAATAAAAAATATTTATTCTAAAAAATAATGCATAAATTTCAGCCATACTTTGTAGAATATGCTAATATTCAGACTACAATTTAAATTGAATTTCAATTATTTATGCCTATGTACCTAAATGATTGCCTTAGTACATTGCTGAGTGTGATGTAAATGAAGTATTCTGAGAAATAAAAATCAGAATTTTTAGCTAGCATTGATTGAATAAATCACTGTCATCACAAGTGTGCTATTGGATTCTTTTATTTTTTGTGATTCATTACAATAAAAATTATGAAAATTAAAATATTAATGTATACTTGCTAGTTTGATTTTAAAAGTAAAATCATGGATGCATGTCTTTAGTATATAAACATTTTTTGAATTTTGATCTGATCATGTTACATTGTTAGGAATTGTCAGTGGGCCCAACTCGAACACTTGCGTAGGCTGGAACTTAGCAGTTGGGTTGTCATTCTTTCATTACTCTTTGTAATCTTAAAGGAATCAGTAATCCTTCATTAAATGCTGCAAAGTAGCGTTGAAATTTGTTTTATTTTATAGAATAATTATTTTTTATTAATTAACTTTTATTATTAATTGAACTAATAATCGTTATTATCATTGAACTCAACCCCCTTGTTTCTATCAATTTTTGACGACCCTACTTTTTCTTTTTTATAGAAATTTTTTTGTTTACTTGTTTCCATACATTTTATTGAATTTGTTAATTTTTATTATATTTATATCAACATTATGTTTATTGCTCTTAATTACCTAGGTTTAAACATATATAGTCGGCCTAAGAAATAACAACTAAAGATAAATTAAACATGTTAAAATCATTATAGCTCATGCAATATAATACCGATTTATTATTTTGAGGCGTCTTTAATTGTCACATGCATGAACTCTTACAATAATTATTTCTAACTAGTACTTTTTACCTTTGCTAAGTTTTCACTATTGGGCCTCTTCTTGGCTTTAATTGCCTTTGGCTCCTTGATTTCATTTGAATTTGGCTTTTCTAGTGATAAAAAATGAAAATGTAAAATCTCTATATAATTTAGGCTTGGTTATTTCACTTTAAAAATGTTGGCTTGACAAATTTAATAAGACAAAAAAGGAAATAGATAAAAACTTAATGAATAAACAGGGAGAACTATTGTTGGGTTAAATTGTAGTCAAAAGGAGTACTATTATTAGTAAAAACAATCAATTCTGGTTAATGATTATGCTTATAACTATAAAAAGTAGAAGCTCTATTATGAAAAAAGAAAAACAAAAAGGAGAGACCGACCATAAAGAAAACAAAAAAGACACAAAACAGAAAGGAAGAATGAAGTGGACTGAAATTAAACCAAGCCATCCACTTCATGCAGATGAAAGAGAAGGGATTGCAGCTACTTAAAATCGAAGTAAAATGAATCAAACAATAATTAAGTTGAGACAATTAAAGCATTGCACAAAATTCAATCAATTGCAACAGTATACTAACATTAATTACCGTAGGACATCTTTTTAGGGCTATATATTTCATAGATTTTGTAGCTATTCACAAAAGTAAATTCCTGAAAATAATTGTATGGGCATAAAGAATTTGAATCAGGGGTAAAAATCGCATAAATTTAATAGCAAATTATAATCAGCTAAAATTATAGCCCTCGAAAAAAGGTGCCCACAGTACTTCTCACTTCTCACACATTGCTAATTAGTTTCTGATAGTCATTTTCATTACTTTTACTTTTAAAATGTACAGTAACTGGCCTAACTAAAATCCTGGGGTTTTAGTTATAGTTCAGTAGGCAACACTCATATTTTTCCAACTCATGCTGTCACAAATAAAATTCTGCTGCCATGCACCACCAACTCAATATCAGTTTGAATGACAAAAAATAATAAGCAACAATTGCACCATCAAAAATACTGGTTTTATTGTTAAATGTAATTAAAATGCCGGCACAGCCTGGAAACAAGATGATTGACCATGCATGCACTTTAATCAACATACCACTCCCTGAGCTACTTCCTTGAATAGTAACATCATATGATTTTCCATTTTTGCCTTCAAAAATTACTGTATTTCCTGGAGTCAAGTCATCAGAGTGAAGATCGTCACCATTTTCTTTTGACAGTGATTCTATTGAAACTATCATAGTCCTACCAGTTTGATTACATTTCACTTTAACTTTTTCTGTGGATTCATTGTTATAGGTAATATTTCTGATGATATTTTATTAACTGACCTGTTGTATGTTTCACTGATGGCTGCACAACTGATATCTTTGTAATATGCGCTGGCAGATTTCTTATCCTCTTTGGTCTAGTTGGCGGCTTCGGCGGCAAAATAGCTTGTGTTTCATCTAAATCAATAGTCATATCGGACTCATAATCTTCAGTAGAGTTCAAGGAAGGAGCAGGACTAGATGCCATGTCTTCTTACTTGTTGCCTCGCGCGTGACTGCAGGTGTGAATGGAGCGCGCATGCGCAGCCTTATTACTACACGATAGCGGCATCAAGAGGGCAATATAGAACTTACCTTTATGGCTCTAAAAAGCATATACCTAGGACGACATTCTAGAGAAACAAGATTAGGTAAAATATTGATTCCTTTGTCTGCATTTATTATGTTTCTATAGGTTGGAGAGCCCTCAGTCAGTTGGTCCAGAGAGTGCTGATACTAATCCAGTAGATCTATTTGCTCATAGCAGTGAACCAGCAAGCTTATGTGAAAATGCTGGTGAATTTGAAAGCAGTTTTGATCTTGCAATGTTAGCTAGTGATGAGGACAGTGATTGTGAAGTTGAAAAGGACATTGAAGAGCAATCTTTATCAGAACTAGATGAAATAGAATCTATGGTAAATCCACATGAAAATCTAGATCTATATGAAGAAGTTGAAGGAGCTTGTTTGATTGAAGATGGTCAATTTGAAGGTTTGCATGTGGCGGCTGATGATAATATACAGCTAGAAGATGAGTACTTTCAACCACTTTATGAAGGTGCCACTGTATCAATTTGTGCTGCTTTAGTTGCAATCATGCACTTTAAAAACACATGCAAATTACCATTTACAACTATTCAGAAACTCTTGCTTCTTTTAAGGATATTGTGTCCTAATGACAGCAAGCTACCTTCCACTGTTTACAAGTTAAGAAAGTTCTTTCAGCGGTTTCATCAAAATAAAGTTAAAACAATTTTTTGTTCTGGTTGCCAAATGGAGAAAACCTCATGTACATGCTTAAGTTCTACATCTGAAACTGAAACATTTATTCAGATGGATTTGCCTATGCAGTTCAGAAGCACACTCTCCCGTAAGTTGATAGTCATACATGTATACTGAGCCTTTATTTTAAGTGAACAAAATTTAAGTAATGCAGTCACAAAGTATGTTTTTAAATGTTCATTTTTAGGTCACTGGAAAGATATTCAGTACATTCACAACCCAGCTTCGATTACTAATTCATCTATTATATCATCTACTACAATGCTACAGAATAATGCTGATTTCTTTTCGTGCAAAGAACATTTGGGAGTCATTATTAATACTGATGGAGTACCATTATTTAAGTCTTCTCGCACAACGTTATGGCCAGTTTATCTAGAAATTGGAAATTATCCTCCAACTGTTCGATTCCGTAAGGAAAATGCCGTTATTTGTGGTTTTTGGATAGGCCAGTCTAAACCAGATATGCAAGTTTTGCTGAAGCGAATTTTAAAAGCAATAGATAATCTAAATATTCTTGGATTTAGCTTTGACAGTCCAGATGGGGTAAAAACAATTAGAATAAAATTATTGTTTGGTGTTTTTGATTTAATAGCCAAAGCTAAAGCTCTATGTATGAACCAATTTAATGGCCATTGTGGTTGTCCTACATGCCTTCATCCAGGTGAGCACAAAGGAAGCCATGTTTATACCCCTGGCTTGACATACCCAATACGTACTGAAGAAGGAATTGAATATGCAGTTGCAAAAGGTGTTTCAGAGAATAAGACAATTGAAGGAGTGAAAGGAACATCACCATTGCATAGTTATGTGCATTTAGTAAATGGCGTTCCTCCCGACTACATGCATTGTGTATTAAAAGGGGTGACAAAGGCATTGCTAAAGTTGTGGACTAATCCTTCTAATAGAAGCAAACCATTTTCAATCAGAATAGAACTAAAGAATGTAGACAAAACACTGTGCAAACAAAAGCCTCCTTATGAGTTTACTCGCTCACCCAGGTCTATAACAGGAG